AAGCTCAGGGCAAGGATCCCCATCTAGAGAGACAGGAACTGCAACATACTCTGTTTTAAGGAATCATGGCTTTCTCCGGATATATCACGTCCATTTAGCCAGCGGGGTTCTCCGTCCATCGCGCGGACAGGAAAAAAGAACTCTCCGGGGAAAAAGAAAGGTGAAGGGGTATGTTTCATGATTAACAACTCATGGTGGGATTGTGATAACGTAGAGGAACTCAAGTCCTTTCGTTCTCTCGAATCTGGAATACCTCACCATCAAATGCCGACAGCATTACCGCCGAAGATAATATTCTTCTGTCATTATCACTGCCGTGTATATTCACCACTAAGCCGACACCGCGACGGCTCTCAAGGAACTACACTGGACTTTAATAAAGGAAATCTTAGGAAAACGCTACCAAAATTCTATCAACAAATCTCATGTGCTACACGCGCATCGAACCCTCTGGACCATTGTTAATCTCCCTTCCGGGACGGCTACAAGGCCCTCCCTTCGGCATTCTGCTCCATCTATAGACAGAAACTTAAGCAGGAAGCAGCTGTGGTAAGGACTGTTCAACATTGGTATGACCAGTCGGAATCTATGTGTCAAAGATTGTTTTGATCACGCGGACTGGGAAATGTGTGCTCTCGTTCTCCATGGCTGACGTGAGTAAGACATTTAAGCGTGTTAATCCTCGCAAGGCTGCCGGCCCAGACGGCATCCCTAGCCGCGTCCTCAGAGCATGTGCAGACCAGCTGGCTGGAGTGGTTACGGACCTATTCAATCTCTCCCTATCCCGGTCTGTTGTCCCCACTTGTTTCAAGATGTCCACCATTGTTCCTGTACCCAAGAAAGCAAAGGTAACTGAACTAAATTACTATCGCCCCATGGCACTCACTTCAGTCATCATGAAGTGCTTTGAGAGGCTAGATCAAGGACCCTCAAGAACTGCACCATCGAGAGCATTCTGTCGGGCTGTATCCCCGCCTGCCCTTACCGAAAAAACACATGATTTCATGTGTTTTTGGAACACTTCACGTGAGGATATCTCACATGTGGATTTTCACGTGATTACGTAACCTCACATATGGATTCAAATTTTCACATGAGATTTCACAGGTGATGCCCTGCAAACAAAAATGAATTGTTATGATACGCACACAGTGGTTTTAATTTACAGTTTTGAGACACCTGTAGCTCAGTTGGTAGAGCATGGCGCTTGCAACGCCAGGGTTGTGGGTTCGATTCCCACGGGGGGCCAGTATGAAAAATGTATGAACTCACTAACTGTAAGTCGCTCTGGATAAGAGCGTCTGCTAAATGACTAAAATGTAAAATGAGACACATGACTACATTGTGGTATGTTTATTTATAGTTATTATTATTT